ATCCCTTTCTTTTATAGGTTATTAAGAAGCTATATATATAATATATTATTAAATGCCTCTACTATATTTATAGCTAGCATAGTTGTTATTTGTTATTTGCTAGAGAGATTCTAGATAATATAGACCTGTTCTGTAAAGAGTTAAAGAGCTAACTCTGTTAATCTTTCTTTATATGCGTCTATTTATGTCTCTAGAAGGATATAATAAGTTTTAGCTAATTACAAAAGCTTATAAGACATAATTAACTTAAGCAGTTTACTTATAATATTAAGAAGAGCAATTAGGTAGTACGCTCTTACTACTATATAGTCCTCTTTATTTAGCTTTTGTAATATAAGGGTAATAGCCTTTTTCTATGCTCTTAAGTAGTATCTAATATAAACTATTATGTTAAAGATCTTAAGCAAGTAAGGAGTTAGCTATTCTTCCGCTTTCTTAAGCACTCTATTTAGGATCTAATTTGGTCCTAAGGCTTTATTATTCGTGAGATGTTATAATACTAATTAGATCTCCTCTTTTTTGATTGTCTCTTTAATATTAATTAGAGATAGATAAAGGCTTAAGTTAATGTCTGTAAGATCTGTTATTATAGGCTTTAAGAAGAACTTATCTTATAAGGCAGTAAGCTTATCTAGGAGCGTCTTTAGATGAGTTATTACGATTTCTTATAACTTATTATAAGTCTTTATAATTAGGGTTAGCAGTTATAGTAAGTCCCTTAGGCGGCCTATATATAGTCTTACTTATTTAGTGAGTTAGAATGCTCTTTAAGGAGAATTAGTAGCTTTAGTAATAAACTCTTAAAATTTTATCTATTTAGCTTTGCAAATAATAGTTACTTTGTAACGCCTTATTTCTTAGTATAATTCTTTAGACTTAGGTATATTAGATTATAAGTAGTTATAATACCTTATTTACGTTTTCTATATTGCTTATATATATTTAGAGGACTAGTAACTTTTTATAAATTATAAGTTATCTTATTATAAAATACTCGCCTTAATGCTACTTATAATTATATATATTAGCTTATAAATATAATTATTTATTTATAACTCTAATATAAGAGTATTAGTTAAGAGATATAACTTTGCTAGTTTCTTATTTAATTTAATTATGTCTAGCCTTTTCTAATATCTCTTATACTATATTATAATTAGTTATATCTAGAGCTCTAGAGTTGTTTTAATTAGTATATAGTTTAAGGATTATATAATATCTAGTCTAGGAGTGTATTTAATTAGCCTTTCTTTAAGTAATTAAGAGATGAATATAAAATTAATTATGCTGCTAGATTCTCTTATACTTTATGCTGTTATGCCACATCTTATAACTAGTTCTAATAATATATTATAAGTGATTTCTAAAAGGATGTTAGTATACGTATGCTAAACTAGGTAGGCTATGTCTTTCTAAAGAAAATAATATAAATTAAAGTTACTAATTATAATATAATCTTTAGTTACATTTTATAAGTAGTTACAAAGAGTTATAAGTATACCCTCTTTTATTAATAAGTATAAGACTAGACTTAAGTTATAAATATTATAGATTTATATAGTCTTAAAGAAGACTAAGAAGATTATTAGTTTATTAGATAGATTTATATCTTCTTACTTATTTGTTATATATTAAAGTGTAACTATTTGCATGTCCTTATTATAATATATAACTAACTATAATTAAATATTAAGTCTCTTATTAATATAGAAATAGACTCTTATAAGCGGATACAGAAGGTAGGCAAGATAAAATTATAAATACGTTAAGTTATAACTTATTATAACTATTAAATTCCTTTATAGCTCCTAGATCATAAGTATATTAAATTCGTTTATATTTATATCCTATAGTAATAAGATAAGGGTAGCCTCTTTTTTGTAATTAATATTATATTACAGAATTTGTAAATGTATTATTTATATTATAGTTCCTTATTTATATTAATTAATATAAACAAGTTTTGTAACTCTAAAGAAGATTATAATAGGTTATAGGCGACCTAATTTGTTAGAGAAGGGGGTATAAAATCTCTTTCTTTTCTTTTGCCTAAGAGGTTTATAATTAAGTGTGACTAGCTAGGGTCTTTTGTGGCTTGACTTATTAATATAGGTCTTCCTTATTTAGCTACAGTAATAGTCTGTTATCTATTTATTAATATTTAGGGGGC